CAATGCTACGACGGCGATTAAAATGATTACCAAGGGTAACACCACAGCAAGTACATTTACGCCTATCAAAGAATGGAAAGCATTCGTTAGTAAAACTACCGAGTGGAGGGAATTGGTTTTCCTCATATCTCAAAAAGAAAGAGCTACTAAGAAAGATTTTTTTCGTCATGCCACGAAAATAAGATAGGGAGGTATTATCAGCCCTCTTCACTATACTTTACTTTTGGCCCACCTTGATCATCTTGCTATACACAGTAAATTCGTGTTTCTCGAACAAATTTAATTTGTCTGCACTGAGGTGTATTTTTCCTCGAAACTGACTCGGATCAACCTTTCTGTTGACCAAAATTCTGGAACTATGGGCTATAAAGGCGACAAAAACAATTCAAAGTCCATTTCGACAAAATGGCGGCAGGGTGATGACCCTAGATGAAAAAGTAAACAAATACTAAGCTATTGAGTGACATCAGAAACCTAGGAAAGCTCTTGGGCTAATGTTTTGAAAAAAAGTTTTAGATATTTTGGCTTTTTGGCAAAGTCAACCTTAGTCTCCATAATGACTACTCGGTAAGAGTACTCACTGCTTTCCTACGCTTTTAAACATATAACTACACAAGGTTTAATCTTTGCGATGATGCAACCTGGGTTTTTCGCCAACCAGGTGTGATGTAAAGAGTATAGTATAATATAGTTCCAGCTGTAACTATCTTTTTAGTTTCGTCCAATGCTACCTTAGCTTAACCATTTGCATGCTCTTTGTGTAATTACAGTCAACTAGATCCTTTGCTGCCCAGTTCTACGTAAGTCCAACCTTTTTTAAAATCAATTTAAATCAACTTAAAAAACATAACACGATCATGGTTAAATTGGTAACCCCTGAACAAGAGTAGGTGAGAAAAATATTAATTATGCTGCCTAGTTTCTATAATTTCCTTTGCAGTGGTTGTTGGGTCGCTACAAGCGACGTGTTAGGTTCTTTTAACGCGTCGGATGACGAGACAACACAACGATTAAAACACAGTTTCAGCGGCACCTTCCGTTTTCCTGTTTCCTTGTTGCTCTCCGAGTATTCCCCCTTCTTTGTCTGTGTAATCTTCTGTCGTCATTTCTGACGGTGGTACAGTTGGCGAACCGGTAAACACTAGGAGGTCAAGTAAAGTTTCAAATTCCGGTTTCTGATTCTCCTCTAAGTAGATAAATCGAAACATGCACAAGAACTCGCCCTAACAGCACGACGCCAGGGGAAACTAATGAAATGAAGACTAATTCGAGAAAAATTTTCTCATCGCAAAACAACTATATATGAAAGGGAGGAATAAGATGATTGTTATTATTTCCTGTTTGGAATCACTGGCGATCCTCTGACCCTGACTGGTTCTCAGCAGTATCGTGTATACAAGGTTCACACTATATTTTTCCTAAGATGAAAAACTAAAGTAGAAAAACTAGTCTTTCAAGGCTTCCAATTGTTGACTGCAAAAAGTCAAAATGTAGAAAAAAAAATGATGTAAAAAATGTAAAAGAGGAACAGTTAACGGTTGTGTAATGTAGTTTTGGTCTAAAATCATAATCAGTGATTTTAAATCGATCACGTGCTGCCCGCTCGTTGGATTTGAACTCCAGTCTATTC